TCTGATACGCCGTACTAATATCTTCTAAAATTATTAGGTACATCACAATTCTTTACTATCTCAATGACGTCGAATCTGGAGGAGAGACAGCGTTTCCAGTAGCTGACAACGTAACGCTAGACAGACCAGTACGTGAAATACCTTTAATCGCGTTTTATTCTTGGTTTGCATGTTACGTCACAGCGGCCATCTTGGAGGAACTTCAACAAAGGATTTCTCATCAGTATCTATTGTTCATTCCTCCAACATGGCCGCCGGTCTCTTATCTTTTGAATCTCATGGGAATGGTTGAAAACGATCAATTGTGAGTGTACTCTTTCATAAAATGTTTTTCAAGATTGCGTAAATTGAAAGCTAGAGTAACTACATCACGACATTTGTATTGCAATGGTTCATTGCGAGCAAACTCCGGAATAGCGGACAATTATATTGGAATTTTTTAAGTGAATCGTTCTTGAAATATTTTTGATATTTCCACAGTTTATGGAAAACTCGCGAGCCAAACATGACTACTTCAACCTTAATGAAAACTGCAAGCATAGCAACTTGGTAGTTAAACCCCAAAAAGGCATGGCTATCATGTGGTACAACCATCATCAAGACTCAGAAAGCGGATGGCTTGGCGCAATGGATGACTACAGTTTACACGGCGGCTGCGCAATTCATCGTGGAATTAAGTGGATYGCAAATAATTGGATCACAGCTCCTTATAAGGAACATAGACACATATCTAGTGTATGGTTAAACTTTACTGGAAGCGGTCGCTAAGGAATTGAGCGATAATCGCCGTGCATTTGCGTKTTAGAGTTTCAAAGGACAATCAMAATAAAAAATAACCTAAACGTAACCTTAAAATAACAGCAAGAAGCAAGACATTGATTACGTGATTGCTGATTATAGCGTTGAGTATATATTCATAGACTTAAAAGCACTAGCGACTGTGATTGMGTTGCTCTGAAGACAAAATCTTGGCCGCAATCATTCTGMCGTGAAGTTGTTCTTCTATTYTCTTGGAATTACTAGATTTTTATACAAATAATTTTTAAAATATCTGGAGGCTGCAAGTTCGGTTGAGATGATAATTGACAAACAAGCAAGAWGAAGCAAGAAAGTCGGTAATAAAATGACGAAAATTATTAAACAATTGTTATATATAGTTAGGATTATCTGATATTAATAAAAAAAATCAATTCAAATGAAAAAAAGAAATCACATATTTATTATGCTGAAGGCCAACGTGAATCCTAAATGATCCTAAAGCCTTCGTGATCGTTTGCCTGGCTTTGCAAATAATCTTTTCGTGAAAGTTGCATTCTGACTGGCTCTCAAAACCAAAGATGGTGAACTAACCTATGTGAGCAAATCGTAGAAAGGTTCTCGAATGCACGTGTAGCTCGTACTCCTATACTGCAATATATACTTGGGACGATGACGGATCGATGATAACCTCTTAAGGTTGGTATTTAATAAAGTATCGTTCACGGTAGGTCAGTAAAGTGTATGAAATTGTTGTCAGGGTAACACCGATAAACAATAATGATAAAATRCTATCCGTTGAAATTTGTGAAATTTTACTTTTTGAAATTGAAAATCAATACATGTGCGAATTTCTAGACTTGTGACAAGCTTTAGACACTCGTTTAGAGAGCGCGGAACGGAGGGCTTGAATGGAATTTGGTCTGAAAATTGTATTTCTTGTATCGCAATGATAGACGGCCGAGACGGATGCCGAATCTTCCGGCTTAAGGTGCTTAAAGCGAGGCGTTTTTCGCAAAGAAATTTGTGGACTTTTCCTTCAAAACTCGACAGTTTTCCCAAAAGCATAAAGCACAGGGTGTT